AACGATGAAACTCTTTAATAGATTTAACAGCTTTTAAAAGTTATTTTTCTTAAAGTTTTGTGTACACAAGATCCAGCCCAGAGCTTATTCATGCTATGGAGTTAATTTCAGTGACACATTTTTACATTTTTAAAACACCTACCTGTTCTATTTTATTTTTCTCTCTTTTACTGTACCCTTTCTTAATGGCTTTTGCTAGAAAGCATTTCTTCATTTATATTTTCAAACATCTTAAACAAACTTCTTTTAAAGCCTTTGTCAGACTGTTTCAATAAAACTAATTTTATGTGGGGTGCATTTCTTTTCTGTTGATTTGTTGATTCTGTTGGATACTTTGTTAGAATTAGATTCCTATGAATTTTGGTTTGCAGGCCTAGTTTGAGTGGGAGGTTTTATGAGTGTTTTGTTCTTTTATTTGACTTTGATCATTCCTCCTTGCGACGATCTTTCAATTACCTGCATCTGGCTCCCTAAGGTTCCTTCCAGACATAGGTCTTATAATGACAGTTTGGTGTTCAGCCCAGAGTTACATTATGGGTTCTACAAATTCAGCTATGGAGAGTCCTTTCCATGAGAAGCCTAACAGCAGTGTCCAGCATCAAACTGTTTCTTCCCCATTTCTGTGAAACGTATTTAGTCCCCCTTAGTGTACTGGAGCTTAACCCCTGCCCACCACTATTTCCCTCTGGAGTTAAGTGTGCCAGTAGCCTCAGAACTAAAACACTGTTTTGCATTTCTCTTTCTCTTCTGGCCCATGGAAATATGTGAGCCTATTTGTGTGTAGTTATCCTTTTTTATATTTTATCATATTTTCTGTTTTGAAAAGCACAAGGTCTGTGCCACATTTTAAATCAAATGATGAAGAAACGTCATTCGGGATGCATAATAATACATATTTATTCTTTAATTTTAACTTATCAGCAGGATAAAACTATTATATTTGTTCTGTAAGAAATATTACTTTGTTATTATAAGCCAAAGAAAATGAGTATTATATTTTCACTTCCCAAATAGTTTTCCCCACCCAAAAATTCTTTCAGAAATAGTTGAATATTTATGTACTATATGATAAACACGGTCCTGAAAATTTTACTTATCTATTTTTATTCAATTGAAATTCTAAAAAGTTCATAATTGTTGTTATTATATCATAGAAGAATGTATAAATCTTTGACTCTTCAAGAACTTGTCATTCATCACTAGAACCAATATTTAAATCCAGTTCTGTCTAATTTGAAAGCCTGTGCTTTAAATCACATTTTTTAATGTTTTTCTATTTTAATTGTTGGAAAGTTTGCATTCTATTCCCCCCACTTTGTGAGAGTAGTATGATTTTAAGATATTTTGGTACAGAAAAATAAATTTATGGAGGGAACAGAGTAGGTGATTTCAAATTAGTTCATAACTTCAGGCATTATTTGCTTTGGATTTCAGAATATATTTCAGGGACATTCTCTGGCTTGTTAGGATCTTTCTTGATAAATTATTGGTTTTGTTATTGTTAAAGGTTTTGATAGTAATAAAAGACTTTTGTTCCCATCTTCTTATTTTCATTAATTTGATGTTAAACAGTAACTTACATAAAAGAATAGCTATTATTATTATTATAATTGTACATTATAAAGGAAAGTATAATTTTTCCAAGTTAATATTTTATGCTATCCATATTTATCTCCAGACCTATACTGGGAATCTATAAATGAAGAATTAAATCTAAATCTCATACTATCAGTATTTATTAACTAATTGAAATATATAAGTATTTTCTTTAAGGAGATTGGTAGGCCAGAAAGAGAAATAAATGCTATAGAATTTTTCAACCAGTAATGAATGGATAATTGAACTTAAGGATAAGAAATAATTATGACTGCACAAGAATAGTGCTGAAAAAGATTTGAATTTGTAAGATATCAAGAATTAAGACAGCAGATATAAGAATCAGTGATCAAGAAGGACATGTATATATGCCACTGCTCTAGAGTAGGCTGATTTTAAGGGCTTTAGTGCTAGTTTGGAGTGAAGCATTGAAGGAACATGATTTTAGTTAGATTTTAAGTGATGCAATAAGTAATTCTTAATGGGTTGAAACTATCTGCTGAAATGACTATCTTCCATGTCTTTTTTCTAATTGTAGAAAATGGTTTATTGGAAATCTCAAGTTTGAACTATTCAGTCTCTGTATCCCATCCCTCTAGGGCCAGCTCAGCCCTTCATCCTGTCAAAGCAGATAAAACAGAACAGCTTGCAATTTGCTATAAAGGGTCCTTGGGATGAAGCATTTTAATGTCCATAAAGAGTAGACAAGACCTTCATTTTTAAAGGCTCCCATGGAACATTTCAAACAGCATGGATTTGTCTTGGTGCCCTTTGCCAAAATTAATAGATTTAGGCTGTAGAGTTAGAGGAAAGCAAAGCATTCCGGCCTTCTTACCATCCAATAACATTTTACTGTATTTTTCTTATTTTAGTCCACATGCCTTCAAACTGACAACATGATGAGTAAATAATGCTTAAATAAGACAGGCTACTTATTTTTAGACCTGCCACTTAAATTTAGGAGAAATGCAGAGTAACAATATTATTTTAGAAATTAAAAATCAGCTACGATGATCCAGAGAATAGATTAAATTGATCTTTCTTGGCCTTTAAAAAAAAACAAAACAAAAACTCTATTTATCAGTCTGAGGTTGAATTGCCTTTCTAGTTTCAAATAGCTCTTCCAACCAAGTGCCCCGATAAAGAAAGGGCAGAGAGGGACTGGCGTGTAATAAAATACCAAGTATGTTATTTTGAATTCTTCTCATGATTGGAGAACACGAATATCTTAAGCTCTGATAAAATGGTGCAATTTTATATTTTCCATTTGACTACTTTAAAAGGTTCATTGTCTTTTAATTAAAATACAGGGGGGAAGAGAGGAGATAAAAGATGTAGTACTCTAAAGAGGATGGCTTTTAGCTACTAGTACATGAGTGAAGACACCACAATAAAGCAAGATGGAGTGCAGCAACAAGTTTTGTGCCTTGAAGCCTCCTCTTGTATGACAGTGGTAGTAATTTGGAGTTAATTTGTGCAGTTTCTCAATAAAAGACTTTGTGTTTTATTATTCTTTGATTCTCTGTAGATCTCTTCTCAGCTGTTCTTTCATCCTCTTTTTTTTTAATGTGATCCAGTGCACTTTAAACAACTAGAAAAAATAATGAGATAAATCAATTTAGGTGAGAATTTTGGATCAGGTTCAGTACATGGACATTTTCTATTCATCAGCTGCTGTTGGCTTTCCACAAAATGACTACCTCAAATGGCTCCTTCCTTGAAACTCATGTTCTATTCTCACTGACAGGTTTAGGCCCTCTTTTTCCTTTGCGAATGTTTGGTTTCTCTGTTTGGGAATATTACTGCCTGGTAGTTGTCTTCTTTTCCTTTGTCTGCATGAAGATTTTTTTCTTTGTTTTTCTCCCTTTGCTTTCTACTCCCCACTTGTCCCCAAGTCCTTCAAGCCAGTGAGCTTGTGGTGACACCTTCTGGGCAGTGCTGGGAGTGAATTATAGCCATAAATTCCATGGTGGAGGTAGCACACTTAAAGATGATGTGTATAGTATTATATTTGGTTTGCTTCATCAGAAGAACTGATACAGCAGTTCGATTATGCCTGGAGTTTGTGGTACTTGTTACATATCACTGTAATTCCGTACTAATGAGTAAGGAATTGTAATATCTAAATAAAAAGTCAGAACTCTACCAGTTTAATCAATGCAAGGGTGTGCTACTTGGTCAGACTTGGAAGTGAATATTAACAGAGGAAAAATTAATGATTGTATTTTATTAAATATCAGCACCACACACTACTCTCTGAGCGTGTGTATGTATAACCCTACAGTATCAAGTTATATGCCAGTGCTTTATAGCAGCAGGAAAATGTCCTATAAACAGTTTCTGTAAACAGTGTCATTCATCTCAACAATTCACTATTCAAGGATTATTCAAAATTATTCTTGTCCATTCATGTCTCTCAGCAGTTTTTTTTTTTCTTTCAGCAGTTTTAACAAATGTAAACAATCTTCTATGTAGCCTTGGTTGAAACCTTGCCTTTTTCTGAATAGGCTCCATTTCTTCCACCGCTACTTCAAAGCTGACTTAACTCTTTTTTTTTTTTTTTTTTTTTTTTTTGGTATCAGGAATCGAACTTGGGACCTTGTGCTTGTGAGGCAGGCGGCAGCACCACTGAGCTAAATCCCCAGCCCCTGATTTAACCTTATATTAAAAAGACTTTAAATGACAGCTTTTTCACACAGCTTTTAAAGGATACAAGTTTACTACTTCCAATTTTCTTTTCTCACTGACTTCTGCTTGGATCTTGAACAAGCTTTAAGGTATGGCTTTTAGTAAAATCACTTGATAGATCTAGAAAAGTTGCCATTGCTATCTTTTCAGGAAATTGACTGATGTTAATAGAACTTTATAAGTTTAATATTAAATAATTTCCAGACTCTCAAGAATCTTTCTTCTATTTTCAGTAGCTAAATAACAAATTCAGAAGTACTGGACAACAAAGGTATGACTGGCTATCAAAACAATTGTAAAATTACCCATCTCTGTAACGTCATCTTAGGGTAGTATCAAATGGAAAGGCACAAAGCACTAAAGAGTGAAGCTAACTGGTACAGTTGGATTGCAGTCTTAAAAATGGCACCTCATGTCTTAGCTCTTTACTTCATCCTTTAGTGAAATATTGCATACACAATATATGTTTGTATTTTGTACAGAGTCCAATATTTTTATTATTAGAATATAATAAAGTCAAAGTAGAGACACAGTGCTTTCTAATTTTGATTTTCAAACAGATGCTAGATAGTTGAAAAACAGACCAGAGCTATAATGAAAATGGCAAAAACACTTTCATAAACCTAAAAGAAAGCTTAAAATACCGAGGGTATAAATGAGTAACAAAATATCATGTAGTAACTGTGAAGATGATAGTTTTATTTGAAGTAGGGGGAGGGAAGAGAAAGCTAGAAGGAGGCAAAAACACAATTTGGTCTAAAATTGAATTTCTCTGATAAGGCATTTCAGAAGCGGCTTGTCTTATTCACTCAGCAGCAAAATAATCATATGCGCTTTAATAATCTTTATTTTACAGGAGTGTGTTGCCAGGGTAACGAAATGTAAGCAGGGGAACAGCACCTTGCAGATCACAAAGGCAAATCTGTGGAAAGAAATTTCACTGAGTTTCTCTTTTCCTTACCAGTGTAATAAAGACTTATTTTTCCTGCACTATTTAATGATCTCACATAAACATTCTTTTCCCTTTTCCGTTTTCGTGTCTGTTTAAAAATGGACAATAGCATATATCTGGAACTGTCAAGCTCAGTGGGCTAAGCAAAAAACAGATGTTATATCTTTAGCATTTTTATATAATTACTCTTTATTACTATTTTACCCCATCTCCATCCCTTCCGACCTTATGTTATTTCCTTCTCTCTGTAAACCAATCTGATGACAGTATTCCAAATAAAGGGGCTTGAGGTGGGAGTTTGTATTTGGCTACATTAATCAAAATTTATTAGCTAACCTTGCCTACATGGAGATTCTAAAGAGGTAAAGATTGCAACTGAAACATCTATTTTTGGGAGGCGGTAAATTGAATCACAGCAAACAAAGTGACAGGCATTCAGGCCAAAAGGTGCAGAGATAATCATTTCTTTATACTCATGTACATGCACGCAAACACCACCCCACCCCCGACCCAAGAGGAATCGGGGAGAAAGGAAAGCAATGTTAGTTTCTTTCAGCTTGCCATTGGGCACTGGCTCCAGGAGACTGGCTGATGTGAAGTTAACAAAACGAAAGGTTTCAATGCTTCCTCGAAAGAAATAATAAACACTGGCAATAAGAACATCCCTACTGATTTTTTTATTAGATCCAATTTATGACAAATATATAGCTTATGTGTATTTGCCTGTCGTTATCTTTGCTAAGTGACATAAGCTGTGAAGGTGATTTAAGAACAAAATAGTATTACTTTGTAAGACTGGAGGAGAGAGGGAGACAGGGAGATTGTAAGAGGGAGGGAGGGAGAGTGGAAGGGAAGGAGCAAGGGAGGAGGGAAGAAAGCAAAGGAGGAAGGGTAGAAAGAGGGAGGGAAAGTGGGTGCGGGAAGAGGAAGGAAAAAGAAAAGAAAAGTGAAAGAGGATCTTTATGAAATTAGATGTGACAATCTGTATTCATGTGACTGTTAAAGGTTTGATTTCTGTCAAGTATTTCAAATTAACAGCTAACTGTTTTAATGTGCTGTCTACTCAAATGCTATGGATTATCTAGATCTTTCTCTAGGTCTGTGGGATAATAGGCAACCACAAATAAGTGCTCAAATGTCAATTTCTGGGTAAGTTTCATTCTAAATGATTTTGGATTTTGATGATGTTTAAACGATATTATTAATTATTGTCATTGATATTTCTCTAGGAAGTATTCTTTCTTGCCACCTAAACCCTGCTCAGATACTTAAAATTCATATTAACTAAAGCTACATTTAAAACAGATAATGGTACAAGAGTAAGTAAAATTTGAAAAGATCCAGTAAAGACTTCTTCAAATAGCAAGCTGTAGGGAAAAATATTCTATAGCGATATAACTAGTAATAATACTCCAATGTTCACAAAACTGGAAAAGCATCATGTTGAAATTGCAAGATCTCTGATGTTCTAGTGGAATTTCAGACTGAAATGCTGTGGAAGTCAAAGTTTGATTCTCATCAAGCATCATTGAAAGCTCTTGAGAAAATTTTAAAACCCAACAGAGTCCGTTCCAATCATTTATCCATATTCTATAACTGTTGGTTTAAAATCGGTTCTTCACTTTAATTCTAAATACAGTGAATTCATTTGGAACTTCCCTGAAGCCAGTATCTGCTTTTATATAAGCTCTCTATTTCACCTCTGTTATACTAATTACTCAAGAGTTTAAAAGTTTCCTAAGATAATGTCAAAAGGGCAAACATTTTTCTCTCCTTGGGCCATTGTTTGCCTCTAGATTCTCTACGGAAATAAGGTTAGCAGTTTTGGGTACAGAGTAGTATATCTATTTTCTTAGGATTTGGGACTTTATCCCTTGTATATACAAATCACCAATAACTCTACATTTTTATTTAATTGTTATGAAGATGTGCATATCGGTGGTAAATGAAAGCTTAGTGTTAAATATTTGTTTCATTTTTTTGTTTTGGTTTTTTGAGACAGGGTCTCACTATGTAGTTGAGACTGACCTGGAGCTCACTGTGTAGCCCAGGTTGGTCTCGAACTCACAGCAATCCTCCTGCCTCAGCCTCCCGAGTGCTGGGATTACAGGCGTGCGCCACCACACCGAGTTAGTGTTGAATATTGTTCCCTTGGTGCTTTTAATTCAACTGTAAAAATTTTCAAATCAGTTGCTAGCTTTTAATCTTCCCTATTTAGTGAAAAACTAATTCTTTCCCTTCACTTTTTGAACATAGTGCAGTTTTTGGAACCATGTATAACAGGATCTTAAAGTGGAACTCTACCTGTTTGTCTTAGCTGAGGTCCCAAGGAAAAAAAAATTCAGGATGAGATATGGAAACAACCTCAAGTTCTTACATGAGAAGGAAAGAGAAAAACTACTATGCAGTTCTTAAGCTTCTTCATCATATCAATGATCAAAAGGAATGGGAAATTATAAATTAAGGAAAGGAGTATTTGGGGAGAAAGTTGTTAGTTTGTTGAGTGTCCTATCACATCTCCAAGGGGGAAGGAGTGGGATACATCTCCATTTGTCAGAATCCAAGGGAGACAAACTTTAAGATTGCATACCTTAAAAGTGACTCCTGCTGTATAAGACCTGCTATTTGATTAATGCCTGAGAAATCTAAAGAGGTTGAAACTGTCTGACCAGCTGACTTGAAAATAGAATGACAAGCAGGTGATTACTTCAGGCAACCTGTATATGCTCAGAGTTGTTGGAGCAAATGTTGCTTAAGTGCACGTCGTAGGTCAGAAGTGAGACAAGAGAAATGATACAAGGTTGTCTTAGACCCTGAACTGCCTGGATCAAGTGAAGTGCACTGCTACCTTCTTGGGAGCAGAAAATAAAGAGAGGAGTGAGCTTCAGCTAAATCAAAGGGTCTGCAAGTGAGCAGCCTAGCAAGGCTAAATTGAGAAAAGAAAGTTGCTATAACTTTGAAATTTAAAGATTTTATTACTAGACTCGACGGGGTATGCTGATTGTTAAATGTTTCGATTATCTTGTTTTGGGGGAGGTTTTTGATTAACAAAAATGAAATCTTGAATCAGGAATGGAGTGGGAAGGAAGCAAACCCAGTTAAACCTAGAGACTAGAGAATGGGTAGGACTGGGGCCTGAGGGTCAGGCCATTTACACTCTCATCCACCAGAACTCCACAGAGCAGAGAGCAGGCCCAGGAGAATGTGTGTCATGCAAGATATGGAGGATGGCCTTTGCATGACTGTACTCTGGTCTACACATGTCTATTTACTACATATATCCCTTATTGAGAGGAGTCTATATACTTTATATATGTGTTATACATATCTGTATACACATTATACATGTCAATTTACTTTATGCTGTGGGTTTTTTTTTTTTTTGTACCAGGGATTGAACTTGGGTACTTGTGTATCCCCATCCCTGTTTTCATTTCTGTAGTCAGTATTTCTGTTGCTTCTGCTTGCTCCTATCCATACTGCAGTAAGAAGTTACTAAGCCAGGCAAAAATAACAGTAAAGAAGATTTTTACCTCTTCTCCAAAAGCTTTCTATAACTTTTCTTGATTTAATATATGGCCACTTCTTTCTTTCTTTGCCCAAAGTTCAGGTAGGGGTATCATAATCAAGAGGATTTTATTATCAATCTACAAAATAAAACATATATTGCACAACATACAAAAATTAATGGTAGTATTTTTAGAAGGATGTGATTGAGCTTGTAATACAGCATAAATAATTACATGATAGAGTAGACATTGTATGTCAGTATATGTCTATAATCTTAAATGTATAAAAGGAATTGATAAAACATTATCAAATTATCATTTTTGCATCCAGGTTAGTTTCTAGAGGACACTCTAGCGTCTGATTTTTTTGCTGGGCTTGCTTGAGGAAAGCTGTTCTCATACCTTAATTTTGTTATAATGTTGGGCTCCTTAGAATGTAGGAGAGATAATGACAGGGAAGAATGGGTAGAGAGTGAGATACTAATAGAAAGATGTTAGAAAAATACTAATGAGCAGTAGAACTCATTGGAGATCACGTGATAGAAAAATAGCCAGCGATTGTGAAACACTCACACACATAAAGTAATTATATGAATGTGTACCTCCAACAGTTGGATCTTCTTGAGCCCTTTGAGGTTGATCCCATAATGCTCTCTACAAAATTACTCTTCTTTCTTGACTTTAACAGGCATTGTGTAGTCTATTCAGAGTAACATTTTTTAAAGTCATACCTCACAAACACAATAAAGAAAGAAAGAAAGAAGGAATGGAAGGAAGAAAAAGAAGGGAGAAGGCAGAAAAGACAGGGAGGAAGAAAAGAAAGAATGTGAGGAAACAAATATATTGATTTCAGTGCAGATTAATAATTCTTATTAGTTGAATGAGAATTTTCAATCATTTACAAAGTGCTTTATATTGCAACCTATGTGAATGGTCAGTGGTTTTTTTGTCAGAAGTTTATTTGGTTTATGTAAGTGCAGAATTATAATTATTAAAAATTAGGTGGTAAAGATGTTACTAAAAACTGTTACTGAAATATGTAAGCAAAGAAATTGACCAACTCTGTTGAACATTGCTAGCTGTTCTTATAATTTTGATTCAGTGAGGCATATTAATAGGATTGTCTGACTAGTTCAAGAATTAGCTATACCACTTAACTTTTTGAGTCTCTTTCTTATCTCACCTATCACATACAAGTAGTATTTCTTTTCCTGTGACTGTGTTATGGTAAAGATCGAAGTATAGGAAATAAATCTCTTTATAAGGACATATATCTCCATATATATGATATTTTCATGTAAAAAAAGATCATATAGTCAAACCATGAAAAATATTTGATACATACATATACATTTATCTTCAATAAGTTATGCATATAATTATATATTTGTTTCATTATATAAAAATTGTATTTCATTATATGAAGACATATATGATTCTTTTCATTATTATTTTAAATGCACAAAAGTATCTAGTTGTGCACTCTCTTTTCCATTGCTGAGAGATGTCTTTGAATGAAGATAAAAATTTACTTTCAGTCCACCGGAGTATTCATTAGGTCATACAATTAAAGGCAGGTCGTGGATTTTGGGGGAAAAATAATTTTACTAGTTTTCATTCATTTGAGGGCAGAAAATCAAATTGTAACACTATTGACAGAAAGAAAGGAATCCTATTTTGAAGATTACTGAAAGGCCTATAAAGAGTTTTCACAAATATTTGATTCAGATTCTTTTTGCCTTGCACTTTTACTTTTTGTTATTGTTATTTTGGTACCAGGGATCAAGCTCAGGGCCTTGCTCTTAGGAGGCAGGTAAGGGGCCAGTGAGCTAAATCTCCAGCCCTACACTTTTACTTTTGTTAGATACTTTATTGTTTCAGTAGTAGAATTAAGTGAAATTCTTAAGCAGACAAACAAATTTCACTTTGCTCATTTCTTATGGAACCCATATGCCTCCATAAAAGTCCATTAAAGAGGCTCTAACAACCCTGACTAAAAGTGAGAACAGTGTAATTAATCACAAATAAAATATGCAGATTCTTAAAAGCAAGTTTTATATTAAGGCTAAGCTTACAACTTAGTTTATTTAATTCAGCCATGGAAATAATTTTTTGAAAACATGATATTTTTACCCGCAGAATTTTTCCTTTCAGCTACTATTCCTTTCTTCTTTCTCTCTTGTTTGCATGCAGGATCATAAGTGGTTGAAAATATTTGAGTAATTTAATGTTAATTAAGGATAGGTGGTTTATCATCTTGGCTATAGTTTCATCCCAGTGTAAGGTGTAATAGCAAAATACATTAAACCTTCCAAATAGAGCTCAAGGCAGAAATGCTGCCTGCCATAAACAGGAATAAGTAATCTTGAAACAAGAGTTAGTACTGATACAGTTTTCATATTTTAAGAACCATAAACTAAGGACACTTGTTATGAAGTTACAATGCTAGGCAAAAGCCTTTGACATTACAGTTAGTTCGTAAGTAGAAGATATTACAAAACATCACCTGTTTTATTCCTCTAACACATACTTTCATAATGCTTTTTCCTTCACTAGGAAACAGTAGAGTCCTACAAGTTATCTTAGGATATATATGTACAGGTCAATGAGGAAGGCCAGATAAATAATCCTCTTCAGATTTTATCATTAGTGTTAATTAACTTTACAATAACATCTATATATTATTTAGAAAGCATTTTCCAAAGGGTAGGAAAAATATGTTCCATGAAATCCAGAAATTTGCAACTTGGTAAATAACTTCTCTGTCCCATTTAAATAAAAGAAATTCTCTTTTTAAAATGTCTTCATCTTTAATTCATATTTTTTCATCCTTTATTTTATGGTTAAAATATTAGGAAGATGCTGAAATAAAGGCAAATTTTTATTTTACTGTTAATATGACTATATAAACCTTTACAATATGAACCATCTATTTACTTTATGTGTATTGGCTGAGATATTAGTAAGATTATAACTGGAAATCTGATTGCAATTTAAATATTTTTTTTCAATGTGCTAGATTATATACGCTGGTAGTAATTGTGGGGGTTTTTTGGCTATTGTGTTTGAAATGTTTGCTGACTTATGCAGGATCTCTTGTAATTTGAGGGTGGATTTGGCATGACCTACTTCAATATAATTGCTATTAGTAACTCCATTGAAGTGTTAAATGATAAATCCTTTGAAAATTTTTTCTTGGATAATCCTAACTTAACCATGTTAGGAAAATAGAAATAGCTCTCCACAGAGGATGTGTGTATGTATGTGGCTGTGGGTGTGAGTGTGTGTTAGCCTCTGGTCTTTCAAAAGAGCAGATTCTTTGGGCTTCCTTTTGTCTCTCAAGAATATGTTATTTAAAGCTGCAGTTGACATTTCTACGTAATGCAAGGATTTATAAGAATGCCTTTTCATTTCAGGGCATGTATGTAACATTCAAATATAATCACAAGACTTAAAAGAAAGGATCCAATTTCCTACTCTGAAGCAGGGTGATAACGCATCTTTTTCCCACCACAAAGTACCATGATGAGTGTGATGTGTTCCAATTGTGATAAATTTCATCAGAAATAAAATAGCTTGTGTCTAGATATTAAATGTATTTACACTTAAATTTTCAGATAGTGAGTTTGTCTGCAAATATAAGTGATCATCTAATACTGTTCTTCATTGAAAGCATAGATAACTATATATTTTTAGCTAATTACAAACCACCAAACCTAAAGAGGTTTTGTGGATGATTATTGCTGAAAAGGAATACAAAGACTGAATCCTAATGAAACTGCACAAAAAAAAAAGATTCTTATTATGATTAAAACCAAGTGTGTCTTACTGAATTCCTTACCTCCTCTTCCATTTCTCCATCTCCCTCTGCATCTTTCCCTTCAGGAAAGAGTGAACATTTTTATGGCTTTTTTCTCTAGTCAGTCTCCCTTCTCCATAAGTGAACAATGATGCGACAACCTTGTTGAGCTAATATAGTCTTACAGGGCAGAGATGCCTTAGCTGTCGTACTTAATGAGGGTCTGCTTTGTTTTTTTGTTTTGTTTTTGTTTTTGTTTTTTAGTCTTCTTCAGCTGAGGGAGAATAAACTCATAATCTGCCTTAATTTTCACAAGTAAAAGTAAAAGTTGTTCGATTTAAATAAGCACTGTTATTTTCAACAACTTAGATGATTTACTTTTTCCCATTATGGTAACCTGGATTCTTCCTTCTTTTGAAATGGAAACTATCCTAACCCCATAACCTCAACATCACTGTGAGTAAAACTCTTTCTAATTATATGACAGCGTAGTGTGTAGTGTGTATATTAGCATTGCTAATCAGCTTGCTGTAGTGGATCTGTATCTTCAGTACTAATGTTCATAGAATGACTACAGATGTAACTGTATCTCTGTACCATGCTTAGATGTATGTAAAACACAGATATGAATTTCTAAGTGCAGAATATGGAAAAATTTTAGACCGTATACAATTTTATGTCACTGAGTTTCCATACAAAGCTATTATAGAAAATGTTCATGGTCCCTACATTGAATCTTTCTTTAGCTTAAAAAACAAAAAGATGCTATCTCACTTGCTTTTGCTTTAGTTGTGTTTCTTTTATAACTGGAAGATAATTATTCCTTGGGGGAGGTTCTTAATCTATGTCAAAGAATAGCTGATGATTCCCAAAAATAACATTCAAAAGCTCTGTGTGAGATCATTGTAATTGTCACAGATGAATATTTATTAAATGTCCATTGGGTTAAGATAAATAGAATTGAAGTATAAAAAGAAGATCCATATAAATATTATTGTATACATACATAAATGTGAAAAAATACACAATTAGATTATATGTATATATTTAATAACTATATAGACCCTTCTAATGCACGTGAATATGGCATAAATATGGTAATAGAGTTATATATGGAGCAATTGCTGTATTTTATTCTGCTTATACAAATCTTCCTAAATTATAAAAAATGAAGCACAATATAATAGCAGCAAGTGATTAAGAATCCCCTTATGTACTACCTGTATTTGATGGTGCTTTATTTAGTAAAAAATATAGTTGAGTATAACTGTGAAAGAAGAGAGGTTTTTTTTTTAAAGAGTTTTAAAAGGATAAAAATCAAAATAAGATCTTCACAGTAGTAAAAGAACATAACATAGGTTTCATGGTTAAAAGATTGACTGGCAGATCCACATGAGACAAATGGAAAAAGAATCTGAATACAGGATCATTCTATTATAGTAGACAGTGGGAGAAAATTATGTTAGTCTAAATGAAATCCATAAAATAAGGAAATTTACAATGCAAGAATTTTGGAAATAAAGATTGAATGAAGGAAAAGAATGCTAATGAAAAATATTTATTCAATCACTCTTCACATTTATTATATAATGTTTTCTAACAAATACTGCTCTAGGAGCTATGTGAAAAATAAAAAGATTTATAAGGGAATTCCTGGACAAGCAACTTAGCATTAATTTGAAAATTCACCCACTTCTAAACATACAGAACTGCTAGATAAAAATACCACAAATACTCTGCCTGATGTATAGTTATATTTATGAGAAAGTAAGGGAAATATCTGAGACCTAAAAGTGGAAAAGATTTTTAAATAGATTAGTGATACGGGCTACCCTGGGGATGGGGATGGTGGGATGTCTTGGACCAAGGATATATATTTTATCAGCCAGTCAATACTGGGAGACAAGATCTGGAGCTTACACGATAAAGAAA